CAGGAGCAGGACTTGGTGGTTTAAGCTAAGCAAGAAGGCGCTTTGATGTGACTTTTACATGCAGAAGCTGCTCCCCAGCAGCAATGGGCACGAGCCACCTGCTTTGCGCATCCCCTTCCCCTCCGGCCACGAATCATTTTTAAGCCCCCGTCTCCCAAGCCGGAGCTCTCTTCGGACAGGTTCGACCTTCTCTAAGTGTCTCTCTCTGACTTTTCTTTAGCGCTGGGTACGTTTGTGCTGCATCAAGTCGTGTTGGGGTTGCAGGCACCCTTGGTGGGGCAGAAGGGGAACGCTCTGAGGCCCAGGGACCCTACTCTGCAAACTGAATAAGTTTCTCCTCGTGTCTGAGCTTTTAAACAGAAATCAACTGGTGGTGCCGATCCAAAGCCAGGGGGAGGCTTTGCTCCTATCCCCCATGTCCAGGAAAGCCGGTGGCAATGCTCCCGGTGACTTCAGGGGCTCAGGATGACGCCCTCCGCACTCGTGTTATTTAATCTGTTCCAAGGCAGAGTTTCAGGTCTCCAGCCCTCCTCTGCTTGTCACGTCCTTGGGCCTGATGCCAGATCCCTGCTGCTTTGCTGGGTTGGAAGCAGCTCTTCAATACAGTGGCAGCTTTTTTGGCTGGGCCTGCACCTGGGATGTTGTACTAGCTGCTTTGCCAGGCGTGGGAGATGCACTGAGATGTGGCTCAGTGCAGCATCCAGAGGCTGAGTTTCTCTTGCTATTTTTCTTTCTTTTTTGCTATATACAATCCTTTTCCCCCCTATATACAATCCTTTTCCCCCCTATATACAATCCTTTTTTCCCCTATATACAATCCTTTTTTTTGCTATATACAATCCTTTTTCCCCCCTATATACAATCCTTTTTTTCCCCCTATATACAATCCTTTTTTTTTCCATTGCTGGGTCTCTCTGAGGTTCAGTAAAAGGGAAACCAGGTTGATAAAGAGCAGAGGCCAAACCTTGAGTTCCCTGAACGTGGAAGAGGGGCTGGAGAGCTTTGTGTAGTTCCTTGGACAGCCATCCCTTATGGTTCAGGTGTAACATCTTGGACCCTAGCCACAATCCCGCCAGGTGCTGGGCACCTTATCCTTTCCTCCCAACTCTCCCCGGCTGCAACGCAGGATAAGTAGCCGACATCACGGTGCTGACTCGACTCCCTATTTCTGACTGTCGTACAAAGCTGCGGGGTGTTGCACTCAGAAGGAGTGCACTGAAGTGTACGCGTGCAAGTACAAATTTAGGGGCTAGGAATACTCTTTGTTACCAGCCGCTCGGCTGTGAACAAGACGCAGCAGTGACAAGTGCTAAGGTCAGGAGGAAAAATCAGAAATCCAGAGGAGCAGCAGGAAGTGGGGAAAAAAGAAATGGTTGAGCGCCGGAGAAACCCACTGCCTGTCTTGATCAGAAATGATCGTGCGCGACAGCTCTGCACGGAGCAGGGGGCATGGAGCAAGCGGCGGGCTCTCACTTCCTGGGCTGCGGCGGTCCATTAGCGATGTGTACTTTGATGATTAGCTGGAGTCCCTGGCTGAATACTGAGCTGGTGTTTAGAGAGCTCAGGGGAGCTGGCAACTGCCTGGGTTTTTAATTCAGTAAATTTCCAGAACTGGCACTCCATGGGCTCACCCGCAGATGCCTGATTAGGAGGCTGCAAAGCAACAGGCTCAGCAGGTGGGTCAGAAAGTGCCCATCATAGAGCTGTGGCTGGGCAAGGAGAGACGGAGCAAGGGTGGGGGCAGAGAGAGAAAGAGGGGGAGAGCATGTGCATGTGCACCATTAAAGGACACCTTTTACAGGTGCTGAAATACAGTGGGATAATGGGTGCGCTGCAGATGCTGGGGGTGTGGGAATGATATGAGCATCATATTCCCATATGATATGAGCACACGTGTGCGTGTGTGTGTGTGCGTGCTGGGGAGAAAGAGGACAATGCACATGGCTATGGGGGGGTCACATAGGGCACATCTGGCCAGCTTTCTTTTCTCTGTGGCTCTCAGAAGAAGCCGGAGGCCATTGAGCTGGTCACATCCGGGCTCCCTGGATCTTCAGGCATAATCACTGTCTTCTGGATCCTTTGTTGTGTGGCCTGTTCCCATCCATACTCAAACCTTGGGATCCCCTGAGTGTCCTTCGCCCTTTCCTACCCATCGCAGCAGGTTCTTACACCCTCTTACTGGGGTAGTTGTCCCCTTTCTTGCTTGCCATCCTTTCCCCCTGGTTGGCTTGGGTGTTTGCTGCCATACAGAGGCAGTATTTTTTATTTGACAAGGCCTCTGAAGCCTCACGATGCCAGAAAAATCAGTGGTATTAATTCTGCAGATCCAAGCGTGTAAGCTGCAGTCGCGTCATTGCAAAGAGCGGAGTCCGGTAGTAGCACAGCGTAGCTCCTTCTCGGATACGGCAAACTTTTAAGGTGCGAGCGAGGGGGGGAAAGACACCCAAAGGATGTTATACCTGTTAAGTGCTGCTGCCAGAGAATCGTTGCGTTGGCTTGTTGATGACGAAAGAAGGGCGTAAAACGCGGGGCCAGAGCGCACGGTTGTAAGATCAGCGGAGCTCCGTTTTGAGTCAATTGGGCTAATTGCTATATTGCTACATATGATAATTGCTATATATGCACGAGGATCTGACTCTTTGAGCCCTTCCAACGCCTAAGGAGTTAGCACTTAGAGGCAGTATTTTACAAGGAAGACATCTCCTTTGGTTGTGTCTTCCTTATGGAGCCCAAAGACTTTGCCCGTTGCAGCAGCTCGCAGTGCAAGGCACGGCACCTTTCCAGCAGCTTAATGAGAGATGTTCACCGCCACCTTGCAGGAGGTCATTGCTCACACCCGAGATCTGAATTCCTTGGTGCGTTTCCGCATGGCATCCTGAAATTACATCCCAGCTCGGGATCATCCTTCTCACCATCCACGCTCCAGGCGGGGGACGTCCCCAAAGCCAGAGCTAATCCGAGCACGCCGGCTTCCCTTGGGAAAGGAGAACCGTCACCTTCCTTTGCTCGTTGCCACAAACCAGGAGGCAGAGAACAGCCCTGACGGGGGCTATGAATCCTTTCACCCAGTGAGAGAACCGGAGCTTGGCAATGGGGATGAGCCGGACAAGGCTTTTTTCCTGAATAAATGGCATCATTAAATAGATTTTTAATCCTCTCCCCCCCTTGCATCATTAGCTGCCTAATTTACATGCACAGAGCTGACAGTTGCAAATGATCCTAATTAGCTGCGTACATGTTCACTGGGTTAAGCTGCATGCATGGGGCCAGCCACCTGCCAGGCTCAAGATTGGCAGTGGTGGACCCAGGACATGCTGCTGGATCCTTGAAGGCTCTGGTGAAAGGGAGAAAATGGCCAGCTTTGCACTGAACAGGCAGACTTGGGCTTCAGAAACCTGTGGGTTCAAGTCAATTCCTGTAGGAAGCAACAGCATCCCAGTGCTCTTCACAAGGCATAAAATAGTCCATAACCATCCTTCTTTGCATACTGCACTATGGGGGGAGTTAAGTCTTGCCTTAATGAGCTCCGGTCAAAGGTCACAGCTTAAAAAAGGGCCTTGCGTTTCCTTCTCCCATGCAGGAAAATCCCGTGGATTAACATCTATGCCCAGGTCCAGCATGACAAAGAACAGGAAATGATCGGGTCCGTCAGCCAAAGCGAAAACCCCCCCAAAATCACTCTGGGTGAATTCACTGACCCCGAAGAGCTAATGGACAAAGAGCTGGACACGCGGGTTTTAGGTAAGGGGTTGCTGCCTGCTGGGACCTCTTCCCAAGCGGTGCATGCACTGAATCCCACGGGGGCTGGCGGTCCGTATTGCCAGGGTCCAGGAAGACAAGTGGCCAAGGACCTGGACGTCATGGTAGGGCATGAGCAAACTGGGCAGCCGCCTGGGGCCCGGACAGAAAGAGGGCCCCAAAATAATAATAATCGGACAACAGAAAAACCCCCCAACTATCATTATCTCTGGCAAAGGGGGACCCAATACTAAAAGTTCATCTGGGGCCGCCTAGAGTCTAGGTGGGTGCCGATGGTAGGGGCAAGACAGCCATGTCTGGGGTTGAGAAGCATCTCCCTCCAAAGCATCTTAGCAAGAAACTCGTCTGGCTTTGCATGTTTTTCCAAAGTTTTCCAGCTTGTTCCATACTGGGGACCCCCTCTTCCATCTGCTCATGACCTCCCTACAATATAGTTTCATAGTTTCATAGTTTCTAGGGTCGGAAGGGACCTGAGCAGATCATCTAGTCCGACCCCCTGCCATGGCAGGAAGAGCACTGGGGTCAAACGACCCCAGCAAGGTGGTCATCCAACCTCCTCTTAAAAACCCCCAGGGTGGGAGCCTGCACCACCTCACTTGGAAGCTGGTTCCAGACCCTAGCCGCCCTGACCGTGAAGTAGCGCCTCCTGATGTCCAACTTAAACATGTGATGACTTAAGAGCATTGTGACTTCTTTTTTCACATCCCACCCCTGGGGGACAACCCAGTTAGACTTCATGAAGGGGACCCAGCTGCCTGATATTGCAGTGAATGTGGGGTCCATCGTCCCACACTTTTAGGTCCTTTTGAGCTGTCTCCCAGTGACTTGCACGTGGAGACTGCGGATGTGTGCGTGTTTCTTGACCCTCTTTCTCCCCCACCTGTCTCCTCCAGGAAGCATCTCGACAATTGCTAACAGCGAAAGCACAAAGGAAATCCCCAACTGCACTAGCGTTTAATACTGCGGATCCACTTGGTCTACAGCATTTCTGACTTTTTATTTGTAATTATTATTATTGTTATAATTATTATTATTGAAAAAAAATTATATGTCATTATTATTTGGGAGGGAGGCGGGGGACGGGTCTTTTGTTTACCAGGGCCACATTCATAAACGGAAGGGGACACTTAGTGCTGGGGAAACTCCCACTGGTTAAAAATAAAAGGCTAAGGGATTCGAATGCCCAGTTCACATTCAGGTGAATGGGAATCAGGTACCTAAATCTCTTAGGCAGATTGGAAATCCTTACCCTAAGTGTTACAGGGAAACAGTCCAACTCCGTACTCAGTGGCAAAGCAGCCGCCTTGTCCTACCAGTGTCAGGCTGAGACGCCGGATCCGATGCTGCAGCACGCTGAGCCCCCTCCCTCTCATCTCACTGGTGTGGGCAGGATTAGATCCGCCACTGTTCACCTCTGCCGTCTTTTAAACGATGGGCTAAAAAGAAACCCAAAAAGCAAGATCAGATGGTGAGCAGGAGGGAGGCACGTCTAGGTTTATGAATGAGGCCCTCCCCCCCTGTGCATGTTAATAGCAAGGATGCAGACGACCTACTGTAGATAATGACAATGTACATAGCTTTTTATTTCTTGGGAAATAATTTAATGTTTAGTAAAAGAAAAGTTTAACGAAAAAGAATGACAAACCACACCCCCCCCCACACGTGCACACCCACACACGTGCAAACCAACCAAGGACCCACAGCGAGCTCTTGTGCGACACGTGGGTTCACAATGTGTTTCAATTGTCTGCCAGGCTTCCAGCTCTGCATATAAATGACATGATGGTTTTTCTTTTTTCCTTCACTGGAAGACATGTGTTGTAATTTTTGAAGAGGGGGAGCAATGTTAGGAGGGTGTGAGGTTTTTCACCGTGATTTTTCTCACCTTTCCATCCACATCACGAAAGCAAAACCGCCATCCTCCGTCATCCAGTAGTGACTCTCATGAGAAACTGTCATAGAGATGAAGAGAAAGGAGCGTCAACGTACTTGGAGTTCATCCTGGGTTTGAATAAGGTGTCAAAAGCCAGCCTAAGTCCTGGGCCGTCTTGTAACAGCGGGCCAAATTCTGATTCCTCACACTCCCTCTTCCATAAGTAACATCACCGAAGTTACACGCATGGAGTAAAGTGCCCTTCAGCAGGAGGAAGAGCATGAGAAGCTGGCCATCCTGTTGAGGCATGTCATTAGGGGACTGCTCCTGAGACTAAGGGCTTCAGGATTAAGGCTGTCTGGAAACCACATCAGAAATCTGGCCAAACCTCTTGACCTTCAATATTAGGACACCCTTGTTACACAGAGTCCAGCACATCTGCTAGCCCCGCAGTCTGTAAAAGCCACAACGACCCCTCCTCATGAGTGGTGCATCCTGCTAAGATGATGGGAACATTAAAAAAAAAACCCAGGTGGTTGTAAGGTGGAAACATCTCAGAGGATTTCAGGGCCTTCTGGTGTGTTCAGTCAAGGTTGAGGATCATCACCCACACAGCGTAATGAGGAGCAGGTGGGAGCAACAGGTTATTTGCACCCATCCATACTGAAGTTGAGATGCTGAAACTGGGCTTGATTCTGCAAGGTACTGAACGGGAGGTCAACTGGGACCGGGAGGTCCTGAGCCCCTTTCAGGAGTTGCTGTGCTCTTGCCTGGTGACGGAAAGCCAAGAGGGGCTCTCCTCCTAAGGCATGGGTCCAGATATGAGCATCCCCAAAGGTCTGTACACTTAAAGGCAGGGATCCAGTTCATCTGCCATGTATTAGAAGAAGGATGATAAACAGCATAGGCTTTTTTTTAAAGGAAACTGGAGGCGTTATTAGCAACCTGCCCAAGACTCAAAGTGCCTCTCTATCTGTTACAGACTGGCCACCACCATAACTTGGGCTCTGCTAATGAGGTGAGAAGTCATTGACACCTGGGTTCATTTTGTAGGGAGCAAGACCAAATCCAATTTTCTCTGTAGAAAAGATGGAGCAATTAGTTTAAACAGTCAAACAAATGGTTACAAAGCCAAAATCTAGGAAAATGTTGTTTGTGTGAGACACTAAAGCAAAGCAAGCTCAGCTCCATGCATCTCAGTGCTTTCTGATCCTGCTCTTAAAGCACCCAACATCCTTCTCATTGGTTTAAAAATAATTCCTTTAGGTTTAAAAATAACCCCCTTCCCGCACTTCCTCTTCTGCGCTCGTCCCGGATGCAAGCTGGAGATGGATAGCTGTGTTTTCCTCCCTGACCTTGCATTTCCATCCATCACGGGTGCATACGCCGGTTCTCTCACTGTATCCTTTATACTGAAACACCAGCGTATTTTACTGTAATGGCCCAATCTGCTGATAACAGAGTTACTGCAGGGCTACGGCATCCCTTCTTGGTGTGTGGGAGGTTTGTTCATAAAAGGTGTTCCTGCCGGCGTGGAGCTGAACGGAGGTTTGCTCCAAATTCTCCTTAAGAGGCATTTTGCTGTAGTAAGGGTTTGAGGGGCTGCTTCTGTGAGCTGCTAGACAGAGCGGGTTGAGAAGTAGCCTACCCCCACATCAGTAAGCAATTCATTCAGTTTGCTGTGGATTATTCCCCCTGCCCCCCATACACAAACCATTGATGTTTTGCCAGGTTTTTCACCGAAATTGCTTTATGTTCTCATCCATTCCAGTCAAACCAACATCAGTTTTTCACTTTCAGGGCCCTGTGCCCTGTTCTCTACCTTACTTCCCCCTGGTATCTTGTAGGGTTGGGAAGGGTAGGGCAGAAGGGAAAAGATCTGCCAGTCAACAAAGCAAGTATCTTTTTAGCAGAGAGATGCCTCATTGCAGTGAAAAAAACAGCAATATTTCAAACCAGGCAGGTGTCTGTCACTAGAAAACACTGAGTCGTTTAATAAGCTATTTCTTTTGGTTTAGAAATACAGATGGAAACATTTTGGCAGGTGCTTCTGCTGAACAAACCTCATCTTTCATTGCCCCATTAGTCACACTGGGTCTAATTTCAAAGCCCACTGAAGTCCACAGGGGTTTCTCAGCGAGCTTTGGATCATGCCTGGAGGTGTCTCACCACATTGGGTCCTAAGTACAGATGGAAGGATTTGGCCTTTTCCCTGTTAAGTACATTGATGGGGAAGAGCACAGAGGTGTCTGACCCCATCTTATGTACCGTGGTCTTGTAAATTCATGGAGAGTCAAAGGTTGGGCCCTTTGTTTCAAAAATGCATGACCCATGCACTTTGTAGGCAAATAAAGGAAAATAATAGGTAATTTTTTTGTCTTCCCCTTTCCCTTAACGGTGTGATTCCCTTGTGACGGACACTGCTGTGGCAAAGAGAAAGAAATGAACACCATTATATTAGTCGTAGTATAAAATCATAGAAAAGAGGGCTGGCAAAGACCTCAGGCGGCCATCTAGTCCATCCTCATGCCCCCAAGGAAGGATCAATTGTAGCTACACCTATAGAAATAATACAGAAGATTACGGGCCCTGCTGCATTCCCTGTGGCCCATTGTGACCATATTTTGGGCATATACAGCAAGACTATGGTTTCCCTTATGTGGTCACCAGCTCTGTATCACCCCTCCTTCATAGGCTCTTATGGAGGAGGCGTGAGGGCAAAGGGGCAAAGCCAGAAAACTCATGTACTCCAGGGCTGCAGCCACCATAAATTAGAGCAACCTTGAGGTTGCTCTAAGTTGCTCTAAGAGTCCCAGTTAGTCCTGGAATTAGGCAATACAAAGATGGCCTAAATCCACAGTTCCTACTTAGTCCTGGGATTGGGAAATACATAGTTGGCCTTAATCTACAGACTTTCCTGTAGCTCCAGCACTTATCACTGCTTTGTTGAGCCTGAGGATCCAGCCCAGAATCCTCCATGCTCTTTCCGAGATGTTGGAAGAGCATCAATCTCACACATCTTTCCTGTTTTAAGGCTGAAATAGGGCAGACAATTGCAATACTTGTATTAAACACAGTAAAACAGCAAATGCATGAATCATATATATATACATATATATATATATACTGTTCTTGGTTTTATTGTTCCATTTGAATATTTCTACTGTAAAAAAAAGGCAGTGGTTTTGAAATTGTTGAAAATAAATGTATTTTTGTACATCGGAGCTACCCACGGCTGCTCTGTTGGTCCTCGTCCTTCTTGTCTTGTGTGCAAGCACAGCTGTCTGCATCTGCTCGTGCCTCAGATACTAACACAAGAGGCCCAATGTTTGCCCTAGAAAAGTATTTATTAACCCATGGGTGGTGATCCCTTGTGGGAACCGTGGCAACCATAGAAAACAAGGGTTGGAAGGGACCTGAGAGGTCACATCTAGTCCAACCCAGCCCCAACTAGATCATCCCAGCCAAGGATTTGTCTACCTGGGTCTTAAAATTGGATATTTGCAGCCAACCTCTTCCAGAAATCCTGTAGGTTGTGGAATCTCCATTGCTGAAGGTTTTTAACTTCTGTGGGACAACCAAAAAATAGCCCCACCAGTCTCTGGGCCACTACATTTTGGGAGGCCAATGGTGCGATGCTCTGGCAGCAGCATGGAGGGCTCCTGTCTAGGGTTTTTCCACAACCATTGAGAGTGATGGACTTCGGTGGACTAGAAAAATATTATGATGCAAAGCCAAACTGCCAACGCAGCATTACTTTCCGAGAGCGAATAGTTTGTAGCTTTCCAGGCTACACCCCCCCGATATTGGGGAAGCAGGGAGATAATTTTCACTACTACGTACCTTTGTACTAGGTACGTTTAGGTGAACAAGGTAGGAGATCCTTCATGTTATCCATCCGCCTCATCAGGCAGCCACGCTCCACTGTGCTTGTGTAAAGATGCTCTATAACAGGGGTGACAAACTTCCCCAGTCCTCCCCCACACCCCCAGGGCTGGGTTTGGACACCCCATGTGATGGATCCCATAATGTCCAGGTGAACAAAAATTTTGCAAGGGGGGTAATGCAGTCTTTGCTTGCCCTGCTGCCTCTGACACACACGGTCAATGAGGCTGTATCTTGGATTTAGATCATTCCTATCCTGTCTACCATCCCCATGGGTCACATAACATGGCTCCAAGAGCCGAATCCATAAATTTAACACTCATACACTATAAAAATCAACCAAGCATCATTCACATCCGGTACTACTGCAAACAGAAAGTCTGCTCTGGATCAGCATACTACAACAGAGCCGAGACGAGGCACGACTTCAGCTGGGTTTTCCTTCTGCCTTCTCTTACGTTTGCTCGTGGCTCTCCCCGGTGAAGTGCTACCTCGGTTAAGCATTATCAAAGCACCATTGCGCTGCTGACATATTATTGTAATACATCGCAGGAGTGCTAGTCTCCCATCACGGATCCCAGTGCTACATCACTGGACTGACAGCTGACAGGACCCCAAGTCCCACGAGACGCAGCTCTTCTGCAAGCTCTGATTTTCCTTTAAGGAGGCTGGCTTGGGAGATGGAGGGGGTGGAAACCTGACTGCAAAGCAATGCAGAGCTGCCACTGATCTTGCAAAGCCTTAAACATCTAAAAAATATATGCTCTTGGCGTTGGTGCTAAAATTAACCAGGCGGCTGATGTTTCCATGATGGACCCCCCCCCC